AAACAACATGAAAACTATGTCTTAAGTGAAAATGAAAATAAGCTCCCTGCCTTGTGTAATAGAATAGAAATGAATCAATCAGTTTCATTATCACAAGAAATGCATAAATATTTGTGCTGGTTAATGTAGGAAAATTGACTAGCATCAATCCATTATGGTTCTGAATCAGTCTGAAGAAATCAATAAGTGATCTCATTAGTGAACTCTGGTGCTGTTCCTGGCATCTCAATTAGCACCTCTGTTTAAAACAGCTAAAACAAACTACATCAATCTAATTTGATATCATTCAGGTGAACTGTCCACTCATTAATTCAAAACTGGTCATAATCTAATCATGTTGCTGACAGCTATTTTTCAACTCTGAAAAGACACAAAACACCACCACAACTTGAGCTCAAGAAACAAAATCTGATTCAGTAGGGTGCTTTAACATTGGCAAACATCAAGTCAAAAGTGTAGCACATTGTAAACTAAAAGTTTTTATTGGCATGAGTATTTTTGTTGCTTTAATAAAATGAAACTGTACATAGCTATTTTGTACACTGTCCTATTGAGCCAGAACACTATGTTATAACTGCTACATCTAACAGTACTAGTATGGTACCCAGGCTTGAAAATTTTTATGGCAGATCAAAATCCAGAGGCTTGGACTAGTAGTTTTCTTAACTTATAAAGTCCAATGGTTAGTAAGTCTCAATTTCTGATATTATTTTGTGTCAAGAACTAGTAAAGATTTTGCAAGACTAGTAAATTTCTCTACTAGCTTTTCTGAATACACAAAATTTAAGTTCAATGCTAGGTCTGAGACATCAAATCTATTAGTGAAGATAATAGGATCTCACCAGAAACGTACCCACAACTGCAACTGCTAATTGTTTTGTAAATTTAACATTTATACTTACAAAAACATCCACAGCTGATTCTCACTTTCTGCATACTGCACAAGCTATTTTATGTATACAATATCTATAGGAGATTCATTTATTTAAAATTATGCTATCTTTAAAAACTGATACTCCATAATAAAATGAGGTGGGTTACCCATATTTTCAGTCTGAATTTAGCTGTAATGAAGAAAGCTGCTCTTTATCAAGATCTGATTGGCTGCTAGATACTGAAAACCACCCAAACAAACTGCATTGTACCCAGATCTGCTGGTGATGCAATGTCAGATCTGGGTCCATGCAGTTTGCAGATGATCCTGGGTGTGTTCAATCCAGGTTATCAGAAAATGCATAAACTTGGGTATTATTACCATGTTAGATGTGTAAACATCATCCCAGGCAGTGTTAATCCCTTATGCAAATTGCAGCCACCCAGACTGTAGAATAGCTGCTAGTCAAAGGCTTTGTAGTATTCACACCCAGGCATTAAACATTGGTTCAGAGATCAAAGGAAGCCCGCAGGGTGAACAGGGCTGTTCTCACCTGCCACATGGACAAACAGTGAGAAGACATTGTATGCTAAGTTTGATTGGATCCGTCCACAGTGACATCCAACAGGAATTAAGATAGAGGGCGAGATTAAAACTTAGATCGGATTTATACTTCAAACTCGCATTAAAATTATTCATAGATGCTGAGACAGATTGCTATGCAAACAGGATAACTCTGGGGGAAGCCACTCGTAATTTGGTGGAAAATCTTAGGAGCAGAACTGTAAAAGAAGGAAAAGTTTCAAAAAAGTCAGTTAACTATTTGCTGGATTTATGCAAAACTTTACGGCATCATAAATATGATTATTGGTAGTATGTATTCTTAATTACTGGGATTGTTTGAGTATGTAAAATATCATTGTAGAGTTTCATTTATATGCGAATTTGAAACATGGATTTGAGTTTACGTAAAGAATTATGTAGATTGTTAGCTTACCAGAATTAATATTGTAATTCACTGGTAGGTTACTTCATAGTAACCAGAACATTTAGTATTGTGATCTGTTAGAGTTTATGCATGTTTGAATTGGAGTTTGGGAAAATGATTGAAGTATGTAAGATTAGTTACAATAGATGGGTGAATGTATCAAAACATGGACATTTGAATAATTTTAATTTTTGTATGACTGAGTTGTAAAATAAGAGATGCATCTGATTATTTTGATATTGTCAGTAATGGGATTATGATTATGTACTGATAAGAATCAATTAATTGTTGTGTTTATATAGTTAATTGACACTGTGCTTTTAGTATGATGTTTTTTATTATGTTGTGTTTTATCTTATAAGACCGTATTCATATTTTGGTGTGAATGAATGCATGACCAGTGGAATTTAATAGCAATTATCTGATGATAGTCTGTGTGTATTGTGAGATGTGAACACTGAGGAAAATATTTTACCATCCATGTGTTTTCACAGGAAATTTTTTTTTTTTTCCATAACATTAAAAGTATTGCTTGCATTGTTATTAGTGATGACACCGCATCAAATGTTCATGACATGACTGACACTGGTATGAAGTAACAATGAAAGGACATAAAACAGTACAAAATGACCACTATTTACAGAAATGGCAGAGGCAGTTGATGGAGATGTGTGCTAAGACAGTGCATTTAAGGAAGCTACATTTATCTATGACCCACAATATCTCACACAGTGTTACCAGAGTATTAGCAACTGTTTTAAGTCTAAATGATAATGTTTTGTCTAAATTACCATCAATACTATAAATATAGTATCTACCATGTTTAGAAAACTTAAGAGCAAAGAAACCAAATTTTTTAGATCAAATTAGCTATTATGTTTCAATGGTCAAGGAGTTATTATGGCAACAAGAAAGGGAAAATAGTTTTTTTGTATGATTAGGTTGTCTGCTGTAAAGCTGAGCTTCTTAAACAAAGATGTCTGCAAACAATTTTATTACTAACATTATCATGTAGATTCTCTCTATCTGAGAAATTTTACACTACATCACATAATTTATGATTCCAATAATTTGTAATCTCGATTCGCTGTGATCATAAATTAAGTGTTGTAATCTGGATTCGCTGTGATTATGAATTAAGTGCTGATTTGCAATACAACATTTTCCAATAAGCAGCTTAATCTTATTCATTTTAAAAGCTGTAGGTACTTATTCAGATTTGCAAAATTAGATAGCAGTCTTTGCAAACAGGTACTGATGTTTCATGTACATAAAATAATTTTCAATCATAATTATATGTGACTAATGACTAAATTAATGGGAAACCTGTTTGTAACAGTTTAAGGACACAACAGGAATGAGCTGATCTGACTGTAAAAGAAAAATCATCTCTTATTATGAGATCATGAATGTGTTAATGACATCACAAAAAATGTCGAAATTGTTTTTAAGCAGTCTATCCAAATTCTTTTATTACCATAAATTATAAAACTCTCATCAAAAACAACTTACTCTTCCTAAGCACTTTTCCTAACTCAAGAGCAGCAAGTCATGGTGTCTTAAATGTCATGTGTTTAGACTTGAGACCAAAAGAGTGCCTTAATTGTTTGCCTAGACTTGAGACCAGAATAGTACCATATTTGTAGGCATGCCTAGACTTGAGACCAGAATAGTACCATATTTGTAGGCATGCCTAGACTTGAGACCAGAATAGTACCATATTTGTAGGCATGCCTAGACTTGAGACCAGAATAGTACCATATTTGTAAGCATGCCTAGAGTTGAGACCAGAATAGTACCATATTTGTAGGCATGCCTAGATTTGAAACCAGAGGAGTGCCTTATTTACAAGTATGCCTAGACTTGAGACCAAAATAGTGCCTCAACTGCAAATATGCCCACCTTAATACCAGAATAGAGCCTTAATTATGAGTATGCCTAGACTTGAGACCAGACAAATGCCCTTAAGTGTAAGCATGCTTAGACCAGAATAGTGTTTTTTTTGCATGTAGGCCTAGACTTGAGATTTGAAGAGTGCCTTTACTACTGCATGCCTAAACTTGAGATGAGTGCCTTAACTGTAAGCATGCCTAGACTTGAGACCAGAATAATACCTTAATTGTAAGCATGTGCTGGGTCCAGGAAAGTGCCTTAATTGTAGGAATGCCTAGAATGAAGACCAGAAAAGTGCCTGTATGAATCCTAACATTTGACCATCCTGATTGGTTTACCATAGTGTCTCTGAGCAGTTGCACTAAAGCAAAGTCTGGACATTTAAAAGAATACTAGGAAATGTTTTGCTAAAATTAATGACATCAGGATTTCACACTGAAAAATTATTATTTGCCATATAGTACAAGATATACTCTCACAGTCACCTTAACAAGAACCATATATACTTACTTATAAGTCAAACTGCAAACTATAAAGATCCTGATCTGTTGTCACATAATGCACCTACAGATCAGGGTCTATCACGTTTGTTCTGACTATTCTGGACAAACTGTACAGACCCATTTCTGCCAGTACATTATGTGCCAACAGCTCTGGATCTGTGCTGTTTGCAGTCGGAGTTGTCTTATAAGCAAGTATATATGGTATACATTACATTTTATGGCTGACACTTTCATAAAATTGGCAATCCTAAGCACAGATCAGATCATGATTTTCTCACAGGAATGTGAATACCTGGTTAAATCTATCTCCAAAGCTGACCATACTGGGAGAGCAGACACCAAACACATTAACTTAAATTGAGTGTAAATATTTAATACAAGAACCTGTGATCATCAACAACCAATTACTGTAATAGTATACAGGTATATTAGAGAATTCTGTTATCAATGACTCATATAAGCTCAAATTTGTAATTTCCCCCCCTTGAATTTTGTTAATTTTTTTTGGAACCATGTTCATAATAACTTGTATCTATTTACTTTTCTTTAATATCACAGTGTAGGAAATTATTGTTCAGTAATTGAATCCATTATTCAGATAGATTATTTCTAGAGAAAAGAAAAGTATTGTAGAATACTTAATACACAATGTTAATACTGATGAAAATCATACTTAGAAGAGAAAATAATATTTTTAACCATATTATTTTTTCATAAAGATTATATCAATATACCATTTACAGTATTGGTGGCTTAGTGGTTAGAGCATCTGCCTTGGATGGGGGAGGTCGTGGGTTCAATCCCCGGCCGATTCATACCAAAGACATACAAAAATGGTACTAACAGCTGCCTCATTTGATGCTCTGCATTAAGAGGTTAGTGATAGGATTGGTCGGCCTGGTGTCAGGATAATGTGACTGATGGGACATCATGCTACATGTCTGTGGCATGATTCCCCAAGACTAGACATCACTATAAACTGCCACACTGCAGACATCATAGCGATATGACTGAAAATTTTTTAAAGCTACATTAAAATCCAAACCACAACAATATTGAAAATAACCTGAAATTAAGAAACAAAGATGAAATTTCAAAAGCAATCTGAAACTCGAAGATTATGTTACATTTCTTTTTAAAAAAGTAAGAGTCTTCATGAAGAATTGAGGTTTTTGTGAAGAAATAAGACTCCTCATGGAATAGTGATTTTTTTAAAAATTGTTTGATTTTATTACATTAAAAAAAGCCTCAGTTTAACAAATATTTGTTGAAACAAACCCAATTTCCTCATGAAAAATATGACCTTTTAAGAATGCTTTGTAAAAACAATTCATTTTGTTAATGACAGCCATTGAAATCTTATGAATAATCTTAAATGATTGACAGAAAGTTTTAATTGGAAACAATTAAAAAATGTACAGATACATATCCAAAATGTTATAACATCACGGTAGAGTAAATATGGCATTTTCATTTTATACTGATCTGACAGATCTATTATTTATGTCGTGAGAGACTGTATGGTCATGTATGATGAAATTTATACTTTTAGCTAATATAAACAAATCTAGAGTCAACAGAAAATAGAGCAATTTAATTTTGAATGTAGCCATTATTTGAAAGAATGGCATGTTACCCATTACAGCTTACACAAATCTGGCTTTCACTGACACAAAAGCAACCATTTTGCATTACCATCTATACTTGCTTATAAATAGACTTATTTTACTGAAACTTTGATTCAATCAGAGAATAGATCATCTTATAAGTGCAACACACACACAAATTGGATAAATTTTAGACTAACAATAATTTTGGAAACTATGTTGTAGAATGCAAAAATATGCATATGGTATGCACTGTGTTTATCTGTTTCATAATGGTATTCATTTACTTTGATATCTAATAATTTTAAAATATTAGGATAAATTAAATATAAATACTACCCACCGAAAAGTGAAGTGTCCATCAATGTCATTTACCATGGATTTTAACTGGCAAGTATATTGCTGTCATTTTCATACATGTCCATCAACCAGTATTTATATTAATATTTGTGTTCTGCTGTATAAATACTGTTTGAGGTGAAATCACCTAACTAGTAGATAGTATAATTCTATATAGTGTTTACTTTACACAAAATGTCCACATAAATGCATGTAAATTCAACTGATATAAAACAAAGGCATTTTATCAGGCCTGGGACTAGACGTTTATTAGAAACCATACTCAACAGTTACATGGCAGTTGTGTACATTTGTCAATTTCAATTCTGATATAATGACAGTGGATATTCATTTTGAAAGTGCTACTAAACAGTCTTGTGCAACAAACAAATACCCCAGAACATCATTGCATGTATATAACCCAGTATCACCTGCTGGTTCCCAATAACATCTGAATGAATTGCCAGAGTTGGCCATGTTTTATTAGACATGGTCAAAATCCTTTTTCATGTTGTTTTATTGTCTTGTTTCTGTTTAATTTTATTTTTAAAACTGAGTAGATATGATCTGTATTGCATAGCTGATAGCAAATTAATAAACTTCCACATTTAAAGACACTGATCAATGCCTTTAAAAATATTGATAATTAAAAAAAACCATTGCATACATATTCCTGAGGTCCAGAAAATAGATCAATCAACTATTTCCTACCATGAAATCTATATTTCTCCTGTTGTCTTTAATTTTAATTTAATATGGCTAAGTGTAAAAGTACTTTCTGTATTTTTGCTTTGGTTACATTGAATAGCTAGGTATTACAATACTGTACTTAGAGTACTTTTTGGTTCTCACACTGAATGGCTAATTATTATAATATGTACTTAGAGTACTCTTTGGTTCTTACACTAAATGGCTAATTATTACAATACTGTACTTATAGTACTCTTTGGTTCTTACACTGGATGGCTAAGTGTTACAATACTGTACTTATAGAGTGCTCTTTGGTTCTAGCACCAAATGGCTAAGTATTATGATACTGTACTTATAGAGTACTCTGGTTTGTACACTGAATGGCTAATTATTACAATACTGAATTTATAGTACTCTTTGGTTCTTACACTTAATGGATAAGTATAACAATACTGTACTTATAGTACTCTTTGGTTGTTACACTAAATGACTAAGTGTTACATTAGTACTTAGATTACTCTTTTTTTCTTACACTGAATGGCTAAGAGTTACAATATGGTAATTAGAATATTCTTTGGTTCTTACACTGAATGGCTAAGTATTACAATACTATACTTAAGAGTACTCTTTGGTTCTTACACTGAGTGGCTAAGTATTACAATACTGTACTTAGAGTACTCACTTTCTTACACTGAATGGCTAAGTATTAAAATGCTGTACTTTGAGTACTCTTTGGTTCTTACACTGAATTACTAAGTATTATAATACTTAGGGTATTCTTCGGTTTCCATTTTAATATGGCAAACTTTTATAGAACTTTCAGCATTCTTTGGTGTTTGCTACCAGTGAGACATGCAATCTCTCTAAAGTTGTATCAGTTACTGGACAGAAAGTTTGGTTTAGTTCCATACTAAATAAATTTATAAAGACAATACTGATTATACTTAAGTCAGGTCCAACTGGAAACAACATAGACCTTAATCTGCCTCTGCACAAATGACTTGCAGATCAGAATCTATGTTGCTGGTTCTACTGGTTACTCCTAATAAACTGCATAGACCCAGATCTGCCAGTGCATTGCCAGTCCATTATGTGAGAATAGATCCAAATCCATGTAGGCTGCAGCTGGAGTCAACCAATAAGCAATCAGACAGTATTTAACGATTCTAAAGTAATGTCTAATTATAATCAATGCATACTGGGTAATCTCGTAAAGAAATGAGGAAGTGTAAAACAAAATATGAAAAAGTATCATTATCAAACATATATAACCCCAATGGTTTACTACAAAGAAGAAGAAGAATTTATTCAAATCCTAGATGCAGAGTTTCAATAAAGAAAAATTAATTCAAATCCTAGATGCAGAGTTCCAAAAAAAAAAATTAATAATTTTTAACATACAATCTTCACTATTAAAAGTAACATATAAGGTTAACACTAAGTACATTTTCCTCATTTAACTACCTAAATTTTTGTGCCATTAAATTTTACATTATTCAATGTTAACCTTTTATTAGCACTGCACAGCCACTTTTCATCTTTATGAAATCGCAGACTTAGAGACCTCAACATACGGATAATAAAGATTTTTACAACACATGCCACATGAACCATAATTATCTGATAATGAAATTAATAAGTCTGTAATCACAACATTAGTGATTTTACTTTTCATGCAATCTGAGCAAGTATTAAAGATATTCATTTTTCTGACTTACCAGTATTGCCCAAAAATTAAATACAGCATCGTGATGCTTCTCTAGTAGTAGTGTGTCCCTGATTGGAGAAATAGAGAAAGATGCCCAGTCACTGAAAGAACTAATAGAGGCTGCTGCAATTATACTGTATTGATCCACTGAAGTTTGTACAAGCACTGCAATTTATCTTTGCCTGTTTTACCAGATCCCAAATTCATCCATTAGATAAAGAACTGCACAGACCAATGATAATGTGAACAAAGGTTATGCAAAAAGCATTCCCTTGTCTACTGACTAAATGTTAAAGATATCGCTTCCACATTAGGAAATATTAGACCTATCTGTACTTGTTTTTTTCCTGGAAGAACAGTAATTTTTTCACTGTGACAAGTTATCCATGAGACACAAGTGCAGTATTCAATTTAGCCTCAAGGTAAATATGGATTTGTATGCTGCAAATATGTAGAAGGCTCTTGGCTAAAAGCAATTGTATCAAAAACAATTTTTCTACTCCATTATTCATCAAAAATACCATAGTTAAATAATTTTTGAGGATTTTTTCAAAGTATCAGTAACAAGAATGCTTTTCATTAATAATTATTTTAAAATTCATGTTCTATTTCCATTTATTTATGGTTAGTATGAACAAGATGCTTCATTTTTAACACAACACATGCCAACAAAAACATGCCTACAAAAACTTATAACCTTAAAAAGTACTTTCCATTAATGAATTAAAATATAATGTTAACCATCTGCATAAAGATTATCAAATTTGTTGACCATTACAGACTCCTGCCATCTCCACACAGCCAACCTTTACAGACTTCTGCCATCTCCACCCAGCCATATATTTAAAATGCCATTTGATTAACAGCTAGTAAAAGTAGGCCCTCTATCACTCATCTGGATAGTTGACAAAAGAAAAACTTGTTAGTTGTTCCATGTAATTTGTCTATTACTGCAGGTGTAATTTATATTCTTTCCTAGATCATATAAATGGGAATGCTTTCTCTATACAAAAATCATTTACAAAACCTGTATTGTACCCTGGATCCCTCCCAGCCCCTGGGGACTTGGTTCTGATTCATTACTAAGAAACTGTTCATAATCTCACCCATAAAATATATATGCTTAATTGCCATAGAGAGAATTAACCTGCATGGTCAGGATGGATGAGTGTGGAACTCACTCCTGGACTCATACCTTGGAAATTATTAAAATCCCCATCTATGGGAACTGTGAAGGCTTAGTGATTAGGAACATATGACCAGAAGATTCCAGAAAAAAAATCATTAGCTGATCAATTATTGAATTTCTCATAATTTTTTCTTATAGTGATAGATTTCATTGCTCCATCTGATAACTTTTGGAAGCATTTCGGGAAGACAGTACACTGGGTTATTATGTATTTTTTAATTAAAAGATAATAGATCCATATATACATTTTAAATAATTTGTGAATAGTGGTAATGATTATAT